GTGTGTGTGTGTGTGTGTGTGTGTGTGTGTGTGTGTGTGTGTGTGTGTGAGGACCTGCAGGAGTTCAGACTGATAGCGTCTACATGTGAATGTTCTTGTGTGTTTACTGCACATTAGACTATCATTATTAGGGGTGTAGCTACCCGGGGGGACAGGGAGGAATGTCGCCCTCACTTTTAGAGCCAGACCATTTAGAAGGAGTTGATTAATAATTATATGAACGTAAACTTTTGGATGTCATTCAGCTGTCCTCCACACTTTTAAAATATCCGCTGCGCCGCGATTATACATCATTACCTGACTGTGACTGTGTGTGTGTGTAGTCACTATACACTCGCTCAGCTTCTGTTCTGCCATTTAGAGATGGTTGTGTGTTATTGTGTGTGTTGATGGACTGTGGTGTGTGTGTGTGTGTGCGTGTGCAGGTGGGCCGGTGAACCTGACCTGCCGAGCGTTCTTCGGCTACAGCGGTGACGTCAGTCCGCTCATCTACTGGATGAAGGGAGAGAAGTTCATCGAGGATCTGGACGAAACCCGCATCCGAGAGAGCGAAATCAAGTGAGGATCACTGAAACACACACACACACACACACACACACACACACACACACACACGCACGCACGCACGCACACTCATTGACAAATCTAAAAGGTGGACTGGACCGGTGTGGAGATTATTGGGTGTTTCCCTCCTCACAGGATGGTTCGAGAGCACCTGGGTGAGCAGGAGGTTTCGGTTTCTCTGACAATCGACAGCCTGCAGGAGGAAGACCTGGGCAACTACAGCTGCTATGTGGAGAACGGACACGGCAGACGACACGCCATTATCCAGCTCAGCAGGAGGGGTGAGACACACACACACACACACACACACACACAGATATAGTAAGGTGTGTGTGTGTGTGTGTGTGTGTGTGTGTGTGTGTGTGTGTACAGCGTTATTCCTGCTTCACTAGTGAGCAGCAGATGATGTTCAGCAGGTGTCTGATCTGGTCTGATCTGAGTTCAGCAGCTGCAGGGTCTGGTGTCTGTCAGACAGCTGCTGCATAGCTCTGCTGCCGTGATGGAGCGGTCAGGGTCGAGTCCTGTCAGCTGTATAGGAGGATGGAGGTGTCTCTGTGGATGGAGCTGCTCTGATGGAGTTCTGCCTGTTTGGTGTAGGAGGCTGGAGGTGTGTCTGTGGATATGGACTGTTCTGCTTCTGTGGAGGTCTGCTGTGTCCTGATGAAGCCAGAGCTGGGCCTTTCAGCAGTCTCGTGAAGGCCTGAACTCCTGTCTTGTTAAGGTGTAGGTGATCATACATGTGCAGGGGCTCCATGTCTTGATGGCAGGTCAGGTCAACACTGGGAATCAGCATGGCATCTGCTCTTTGTTTTCCTGTAGGGATTCAGTCTTGTTTTAGGGTCATCGTGTGGTTTTTCAGCTGTCGCGCTTCATTGGTGTCTTTTCAGTGGGATAGTGTTAACTCTTTAAGTTCTTCCACATCTGTTTCTAGGACTGAGAGTTTTACTTTTATTCTTGACACTGGAGACTGAACTAGGAGAGCTGCAGCTGCTGTCTGCTATTGGGTGTATTGAACAGAGCAGTTTGATGGAGTTTCTGTTCAATCCTGTTTGAGACTTGCATTCAGCGGTGTCTGATTTTTAGTTTGTGAAAGTCGATTATAAATGTTTGAAGGGTGGACTCTGAGTCCTGGATCATGGCAGTGCCATTGTGGTATAAGTTTAGAGAAAGGCTTTCTGGTTCCTCATTCTCTTCAGCATCTTTGGATACTAGGATTTGTTTCCCTTTGCAGATCCCTTTTTTTGAGGTAAAGGTGACATGTTAGCAGAAAGCGGCATGCCATAATGGTCTGTTTTCAGTGTAAAAGAGCAGGTTGTTGAGTTTACTGTGCTCAGAGTGTGCAAACAGTGTTTGAGGTCTCTCCTTGCTCTGCTTGTGCCGGTGGAGCGGTTTACAGTGTTCAGAGCTCTTCTGAGGGGGCGGGGCCTGCATGCTGCAGTGGTCATTGCTGACTTTAAAATGTAAACAAGCACTGGGAAACCGGCCACTTTGTTTACTTTTGCTTTTCTGTGAATTCTATACAGATCAAAATATCATGAAAAAAGGAAATATTGATAGAAATCTGTGTGTAAAGTTTAAAAACAAGAAACCAAAACCAAAATGAGCATCTTCATTAATGCTGCCATGTTGAGAAAAAAAATTAAAATAAAGACAAAATAATTAATGTTGAATGTTTTCAGATTGCCTTCATTCATTTCTTCATTTGAAGACTGATGTTTAATGTCCTCTTTGGGTTTCTCTGAGGATGTATTCTGGGACTGATTTGTTGCAGCTCTTTGCTCGGGAAAGTTCCTCTCTGAGGCAGTTATGTGCTCCTGTTGGCTTTCAACTGCTGCTTTTTCATGCTTTAATTCAGTTAAATGTAGTTGTAAGATGTCTTCTTATTTAAAAATTGTCAGAACTAATGTCTGATCTAATAAAATAATACATAATAAGTAATATTAAGTGAAATGTGGAATAATCAGGAGCTCATCTGCTCTCTCTCTCTCTCTCTCTCTCTCTCTCTCTCTCTCTCTCAGCAGAGCTGATGTATACAGTGGAGCTGGCTGGAGGTTTGGGAGCCATTCTGTTGATGTTGATATTTTTGGTGTCCCTCTATAAGTGTTACAGAATTGAACTCATGCTCTTCTACAGAAATCACTTCGGCAGTGAGGATGTGGATGGAGGTAAGAAATACAGAAACAACTTTAATAAGTCTGGATAGAATAAGTTTTTCCCTAAAGAGACACGAGGATTAGATAATTGTGGAACATTTTATTAGCATTGTCTATATGGCTTATAAGCATTACCCAATAGGCCTTCTGCCAACCTAAACACTTCAGTCAGGATCACCTTCATCAATTAATTCACGAAGTATTAAACATGTAGTTGGTGTTGGTGGTGTGGTTCTGTTCTGGATGGAGCAGTCAAACCCCATACAGAACAGATCCAGTTACAGTTGAACAGTTACAGTTACTGCAACTTAATTCTGCACAGTTACTCAAACTCATAGTGAATTACACACACGCACACACGCACGCACACACACTCAACAAAGGCGATTAGTATCAGTAGCTGAACTGCGAAGAGAATAATGAAGCTGCTGCTCAGAATCAGAAATGCTGCCGTGGTTATGAATTATGAATATGTGTAGTTTGGTGATGGATAGTGTCATCGTAATTCTCCATTGTGTTTCAGAAAATAAAGATTATGATGCTTACGTGTCCTACACTAAAGTGGACCCGGACCAGTGGAGTCAGGAAAGCCGAGAGGAAGAACACTTTGCTCTGGAGATTCTGCCAGACATGCTGGAAAAGCATTATGGGTATAAACTCTTCATTCCTGACAGGGACTTGATCCCGACCGGAAGTAAGTTGCATTGGCTGAATGTGTGAGTAAACGTGTGTTATGTTGTGTTCCCGCAACCACATCCTAATGAATGTTGTGTGGAGGAAAAGCTCATCTTCATCATCAGCATCATCTCTTATCTCCAGTTAAGCTGTGGTTTTGTTTGATCTGTGATTCGGCTCTCCCTCAATTCAAAGTAGGAATCACTGTTTGTGTGAGAGTTATTATTATTATTATTATTATTATTATTATTATAAGCATGCTTTTAGGCAAGCAGAGTTTGTTTGTATTTACTTCTAGTTTGTTTGCTTGTCTGGCTCTACATATTCATCATTCGTCTTGCCCTTTGTACATGAAAAATTCGGTGTGTGTTTTGTTTGAGTGTGTGTGTGTGTGTGTGTGTGTGTTTTGTCTTAGTGTTTGTGTGTTAGCTGGGAACTGTTATATGTTAATATGGGACTAGGGGCTCACAATCAGGGCTAAGAAAGCATTGATTATGTGAAGTAAACTGGTTAAAGCTCTTCAATAAGCAGCGGAGGCTGTAAATCTACAACTATAATTACAGTATGAGCAGAACACTATGTTTCTCTGCTAGCTCTGTTAGCCCTGCAGCTACAAGTCCCATATTAAGCTGGATAAACTGGTGATTGTAACTGTAAGTCTTAAGGCAAAAAGACAGTAATGCCAGTTTTTCTTGTGGAAGTTCTCGCTGTTTCTTATTTCTGATTGAGTTTGTGCTGAATCAGCTGATCAGACTTTCAATGTTGAAATATTTATGTTTAGGTTTCAGCAATGATCATTTCCAGGATGACACAAGACTCCTTAGAGGTATTCTTTCCCTGGCTTTTTCCTCTTGTGTCAACAAATCTGACTTTTTACAGACATTGCCTGTGCGGGACACTGGGACATGCAGGAGCTGGGCTGAACACATTGTAAAGTTGATAAAGAAATGAAGCGTTCAGCGCTGACAATAATGATCACGGAGGGAGAATCTCACCATTATAGGTTGGGGAAATCATGATCCACTATAGAGAAAAAGCAATGGTGTGGGTCTCACATTACTGCCACGTTTGGCGGAGTAGAGCTAGAGTAAAGACAGAAGAGAGCCTGCAGGGTTAGGTCACACAGTAAACACTCAGTTCCCCCTTTACCCTATTGGACTGGATGAGTTACTGTACTGGGTTAGTCATATCTCTCTCACACACACACACACACACACACACACACACACACACACACACACACACACACACACACACACACACACACACACACACACACACACACACACACACACACACACACACACACACACACACACACACACACGTTTCACAGGTTTATGCAGAGTAAAGAGGCACTCAATGCCTATATCGTCTTTTATAGGTCACTAAATGACCTCTACAGTCCGCCACAGGGCCAGCGTTTGCTTTTCCCATGAGCTGAGTGCAGGATCTGTGTTTAATGTGGTTCTGTCTGTCCTGTTCCCTGTTCTGTGTTTTCAGTGTCTCTGAGCCATTCTGCTGTTTTTATTTCTCATCTCAGTAAAGTTCTGCCAGTCTGTTTTACTCTGCAAGTGTTTAAGACGCGTTAGATTTCTTCTATTTCGTTTGCATGGCTAAGCGAATATAAAGCAGGCATGATGTTTGACGGTGCCCAGTATTTTAGAGAATGGCTGATATTCTGCCTCTTCTTCTCAGCCTACATTGAGGATGTGGCCCGCTGTGTGGACCAGAGCAAACGCCTCATCATCGTGATGACGCCAAACTATGTGGTGCGGCGCGGCTGGAGCATCTTTGAGCTGGAGACACGGCTGCGCAACATGCTGGTGTCCGGCGAGATCAAGGTGATCCTCATCGAGTGCTCTGACCTGCGGGGCATCATGAACTACCAGGAGGTGGAGGCTCTGAAACACACCATCAAGCTCTTGACGGTCATTCGCTGGCCGGGCCCCGGAAGCAGCAAGCCCAACTCCCGCTTCTGGAAGCAGCTGCAGTATGAGATGCCCTTCCGGCGGCCCGAGCCCAAGCTGAGTCACGAGCAGGTGCTGGACGCCAGTGAGCAGGGCCCATTCGGAGAGCTACAGACTGTCTCTGCCCTCTCCATGGTCTCTGCCACCTCCACCGCCATGGCCACGGCACACCCAGACCTACGCTCTGGCTTCCACAACACCTACAACACGCAGCTGCGGCAGAAGCACTACTACAGGGGCTATGAGTACGACATTCCCTCATCTGGCACGCTGCCACCACTGGCTACAATGGGCAGCCAGCACACGTACTGTAACATCCCTATGAGCCTGCTGAATGGCCAGCGACCACCGGGCCAACCAGCCCATGGGCAGCAGCAGAGCCTGGAGGAGCAGCAGGTCAACAACGCCCTGCTGCCACTGCTGCCTCGTGAGACCAGCATCTCCAGCGTCATCTGGTGACCCTGGCGAGATGACCCAAGTGGGACAGGCCTGGTCCAGTCTCATCTGGTGACCCTGGTGGTACAGGCCTGGTCCAGTCTCATTGGGTAACCTCTATGGGACAGGCCTGGTCCAGTCTCATTTGGTGACCCCAGCGAGACAGGCCGGTCCACCCACTTATAAGCTGCTGCTGTTTCGCTGTGGGTCACAAGGATTTAGACTGGTCAGGACTCTGCAATGAAGCGTGGACACCCGATCTGCTTTACACCTAAAAAACAGCCGCTCGTGAACTCTCAGAGGAACACAGGGTCTTGTACATATCGTTTGCAGTTTCTTTGTAGCACTGAATTTATTTAGTTGGATTTTTTTTGTCTGATTTGCTGTTTTTGCCCTCATAAAACGACTGAGTAGAAACACCCGAGACAGAGTAAAGTCTGACCTGATTTTAATCTAAATGATGATTCTTTTAAAGTCCTTCCAGAGTTTTTGGCTTTACGATATTTTATTTGTCTTCAGAGATGTTTTGTTTGTGGTCAGTTGATGAAATGTAGGAAACACACTATTATGCAAATGCTACTGAGGCCTGAAAGCTCTTCTTCTTCTTCCTGAATGAAAGATGAGCAGGCGACACTGAAGAAGATAACCAGATTATTGATGCGCAGTGTCTCTGCTGCTCTCTTAACATACTGAGACTTTCTACGAAGCGAAAGACATAACGGCTTGATAGAGAGATCCTAAGAAAAACTGTTTATTATTTTAAAAGAAAAATATATTTTTATAACAAAAGGATTTGCTTGGAAATACATATTTACACAATTCATTCACTCCACTAATGGAAGCATTTATCTCAGCATTAATGTGTTTCACAGAACCTTTTTGAACCGTTCTTGTCAAATCATGGATGAGCAGGGGAAAACAAAGATCTGTTTTTATTTCTCTTTGAAACTGGCATAATTTCTGAGCGTGCACAGCAACTAGAGATGTGTTCAATTTATAACATAATTATCTATATATACATATTTTTTTGCAAAGACATTACATATTGAAAGTGCTTAGGATATACAGATCCACGTGTCTAAATAATTACATGTGTTGTGGCCACTGCACATCAGAACCTGTGAACCTCCACTGTAGTGCCTCCTGCTGCTCCACCCACAGGTCTAGAGTGGTACTGCATCGTCTCTCACTGTTTTTAAGGTACTGCATCATTCCTCACTGCATTATCTCTCACTGTTTCGAAGGCACTGCCGTAACACCCCCTGTCTGCACCTCATCTATGTTCTGCTGTAGATCATTAGTGTAGACCTGGGCCAATTTTACCTCATTTTAATTAGCGGGCCAGTCCTGTGTCAGTATCTACAAACTCAATTTCTGGAGGGCCGAAGCCCTCCACAGTTTAGTTCCAACCCTGCTCCAACACACTTACCTGTAGGTTTCAAACAAGCCTGAAGGACTCAATTAGTTTGATCAGGTGTGTTTAATTAGGGTTGGAACTAAACTGTGCAGAGCTGCAGCCCTCCAGGAACTTAGTTTGACACCTGTGGTCTTCATTCTCAGAAAAACATGTAAGAGCTGTCACTGGGGCCGTATCTTTTTAGGTACCCATTTGAACAAAAATGGTCCATATTGGTATCTTAAATGTGCTAATTAATTTCTAAAAGTATAATAGGGTTCCTTCAGAGAGGTACAGTCTCATTAAGAGCTCTTACTGTATCTGTGAGAGCGTAGACAGCTTATATCTTTGCTTCAAGAGTGGAGGACTAAACGAGAGTGTGTTTACATGAGGTCAGCCGTCATATGGACAGGCCAGGCATTTATAAATAAAGCTGCTCCATTCCACACGTGGCACTGCCTGTTCATTAGTGCTTATTTAATAGTCTTACTATCAATCTAATGAAGGCTTTACATCAGTAATCTGCAACTGTATTAATGTAAAAGAAAAGAAACCAAAGCTGGTATTTAGCGATGGGTACAAACATATTGCCTTCTCAGATGCTCTGGTGAAAATCAGGGAAAACTCAACAAGAAATTTGAATAAATAATCATGGATTTAACATAGGATGAAAAGATCAAATGCCTCTCGCAGATGTGGGAAAATATCATTGCTGTCCCGTTTACGAGGAACAGCAAAGCTTCATCTGATTATTCTTTGTCAGTAGTGCCAAAAAACAGATTATATGCAAAGATCTTTAACTCAGAGAGGTGTCCAGAGTAACAGGGTCACACGACCTTCTCATCCAGCATTTCATCCCAAACACAGATAAGGTCAAGTGTTTGATCGGTTTGGAATCTTCTGCGGTGTGATTAATCTGAAGCTGAACCAATCAGACTGCTTCAACATGATTTCATTTCTCATATTTTTGCAAGTTTTCTTCTCTTGTATTTTATATTACACTGTGTAAATATGAATAGAAATGGTAATAAAATAAAGACAATCTAGCCACATTTATGAAATAGCAGAGTTGACTTTTTCCAAGAGAGTGGCAAACTCTTTCATGAGCATTTCTGATACTGCTGATCAAAATAAGAATATAACAACAAGAGAATTAATATTATATAGCACACAATTTGTCTCCGGCACTTTCACCAGTCGTACACTAAAGATTAAGCTTCGGTTTGTCTCCTGTTTTTGAATTTTTCTCTTTTTAATTCTGTATCTGCGATGTTAATTGAAGACAAAATGTCATTAATAACAATAAAACACACATTTAATAGTACTTATTGTCATGTTGTTTATTTAAAGTCTCTTGGTGAACTAGAATAACTGGTGTAATGTGGTGGAAGATGAGGAAAGAGGGTTAGAAACACAGCTGGATTTGTTAAGGTTGCTCTGCTGTTTATTCAGTGTGTTAAAGAGGAATAATATTCTGTGATGTTTCACGACTCTCTCTGAATGCTTGTAAGACGCTGGAGATCCTGCTGTTTCCGCATCAGAGGATTAGTGAATGACGGAAACAACATTAAAACATCAGCACCGCTACAGCACAAATCCAGATAACACTCACTCTAGACCTGTCCACCTCAACAAAAGACCCAACACCTCACATCCAGAACTGATATGTTGCTGACCACAGAAAATATTGAAATGATTATTAAATAAGAATTAAATCACTTGAAGATGAAAAGTAATCCCTTATTTTTTCAGTGGAGAAGAAATTTACTTCAACAAGGTCTTTAATTTATGCAAAAGAGATTGATGCCTGAGCAGACTACACACCTTTCTTTGTGCCAGAGTATTGAAAATATTATAAGTAGATATAAAGTAGTGCAACAAGACCACAATTATTTCATTTGTGTATTTGTTTATTTATGTCTAGTCATGTTTATTTCTATAGAACTTTTACTGTATTAATGTTATCACAGCAGCTTAAAGTAGATGAAGGATTCAAAATAAATATTTCAGTCTGTGGAGCATTTTCAGCACACCCGGCATGCAGGTGAGCAGCGGTGCAGCTGAAGTAATTCAAGAATGAAATCAGTTCAGTTCAGTGTAAATGTCAGTGTTGAAGGCGGATCAAAGACGAACGACACCAGACGGACAGAAGCAGAACTACAGCGGCGGACGGACACGAAGAGACCGGTTCACTTATATGTAAGAAGCGCCATCTAGTGTGTATTTAAAATATAGCCTGTGTCACATTTGTCAAATTCAGAGGCTGCCAATCAGTCTATGGCAAGCACTTTTGACTTTTATTTATTTTCAGGATATGTATATTCTTGATATCAACAACTTAATTCTTGATATATTGATATTTTTGATTAACAGTTACATTTATGATATCTACATCTACCGTTTTGATATCTGTAATTGAACTTTCCCGAGTTAAATGTCACCGTAGGCTCCCATTTACTTTAATTGTTGATATCAAGAATTAATTTCTTACTAGGTAAAATGCAATTTTTGATATTAATAATTTAGTTGTTGATATCGAGAAATACTTGACAACTAGTAAAGATGTTCATTTTTGATATCAATAATTGGTTTTGTCACTAGTGACTGTGTTAATTTCTAATATCATGAATGTAATTATTACCAGTGAAATTGGCCAATTTAGAGATTATAAATGACTTTCCTCATTGCTGATATCAGAAATAACAGATTTAACAAATATAACTGCAGCAATCAAGAATTAACATTTCAACCAGTGAAATTAAGTTCTTGATATCAGGAATTGACATTTTTACATTGAATATAACAGCAAAACATTTACAATTAGTACATGTTGACAGCCAGTGTCAACTAAAACCCATGGCTAAGTGAGACTGCACAAGACCACAAACACATCACATTATATAAAATTTACTTTGCAGGAATAAAAAGCAGCAAAAAATATTAAGTAATCACAGTCAACTTTGCTGGCTTTGAAGTTAGAATTTGCTCGATATTCTGAAACAAAGAAAAAGAAATGAGAAAGAAAACAACCAAAATTAGATTAATTTTTAAACCAAACACTTAATCTAATAACTGTATATACTATTTAATACTTTAAAATGCATTTATTCTCTAATGTTATTTTGTAATGTTTACAGTATAAGATCTGTTTATATAAAAGTAAAACAGCAAACAAACTTTAATTTCTTGCACGGACACGGTCCATAAAAGGTTGAATAATTTGGGATTTCGAATCACTGCTGCTTAAACTGCTTGACACAGATAATGCATGTCAGACTTGGGCAGCAGGGCACTTCAACAGCCCCTTGCTGCAGGACAGTCAAATCTGTTTAAAAAAAAAACCCGGCTCAGCAAATGGTTCTGAAATGCACACAGTTTCAGAGTCTTTCAAAATCTATAAAAATGTTCTTAAATACCCTACCATCATCAGTGTGGATGACATGCTTCTCTGGTTGTTGCAAGTTCTGGAAATACATCCTCATCCACCTCTATGCCATGGACAGTCTGTGACTTTCAGTGCTGTATCCTCTGATATCACAAACTTCTGCTGGACTACACCATAACAACAATGTATAATTTATCAAATAAACTTCAAAATTACTGTTATTATTATAAGAAATAATTACTCTTTGTTATACTAAAACTTACCCGCACTGACAAAATCCAAGAAACAGTCTTCTTCCAGTTTAATATTTTTTTCTTGATACCAAATTGCACTTTTACCAGCATCATGACTTAAAAATGAAAGAGATCAATGTTATTTAACACCTTGTGTTAGTGAGATTGAAAGTGTAATGTATAGCTGAAAACAGCATACTCTCATGGTCACGACTAAATCATGTTACAACTCAAAACATTTGATGAGCAATATTACACATATTAAATCTTACAGACATAAAGCGGTTTTGCTGGACAAAAGATATCGATGTTTCCTCGTTGTGCAAGTGTGCCTATTTGAAAAGTGAACAGCAGGTTTCTCCATCTGATCAAGTACCGCTTCTTTTCCACAGCAGAACACATATTTTCAGAAGCACAGGAAAAGCAAAGATTATTAGCTAGTGCTAGCTTGTTCACATCCACAACATTTTTAAAAGTACCGCACAAAACAGCCACATTGGAAAAGCTAACTCATGCTACATGCTAAGTTAGCCAAATGCAGTCACTAGCCTCACAGGACAAAATGAAACCTCTACAGCAAAACACATTTCTGTCACGAAATATCCAACATTTAGAAAAAGATTTGAGAATTGTATAACACTTTTATATATAGCACTTTCACCTACCTCACAACGAAGAACAGAACTCCAGATCTCTGTGCTGCTCGGCAGAGTTGTGTAATGGCGGACTGTCTAAACATTCAGCTCCAGTGAGGAGTTAAAGCACGATGCTGAACACCAGCGAATGAACTCCAGAACACAACACAGCAGGGAGTATCTCATAACACAAAACTGTGTTAAAGTTTAAAAATAAACTCTAAAAACATGACTCTCACACTTTTTTGCTAAACTCCTAATTTTTTAACTAGTCCATTACATCCCAAACAACACAACACATGTTCATCTTCCCCTTGCTGTTCATGAGGCCAGTTCTACTTCATAACCCTTCATCGATTAGGCCAAAAATTATAATTTCATGCTGACATCAGACTTCAGGTGCTTGCTTCATTATGGAAACCAGAGCAGCTCCAGCAATCAGCTTTTATACCTGTGATGTGGTGCATCATGGGAAATGGGAGAAAACAATTGCTGGAGGAGAGGGGGGGGGGGGGTTCTGTTTTGTGTAATATTTAACGGCTTTACAATGAGAAAATAATGTGCTGGAGAAGTATAAAATTAAAGTGTGTGTAAACATGAGTGTGGAATCAGTGTGCATGTGTGTGAGTGAGTGTGTGTGTGTCAGACTGCAGATTTAGCTGTGATTAGTGATTGTGTCTGTGTCCATGTGCTGCAGTGGTTGAGCCCAATGATATAAATACCCATGAGCTGCACTCGGTCTTTCTTTAGTCTCAGGTGAGTGTGCAGAGTTCAGGAGGGGGTCTCAGGTGAGCGTGTGGAACCCCGGGGTGCTTCTCTACCTCGGGTGTCTGTGTCTTGCTCAGGCGTGTTTCTCTCTAAGGGCCTACTCGCACTATACTATCCGTACCGTGCCCAGGCCCGTTTCCTCGATCGTTTGAGAAGTGTGCGCGCGCTGAATCGGGCTCAGGCACGGTTCACTTGGCCGGCTCTGGCCGGTTGGAAGAGGTGGGCCTGAGCGCGGTTCACTTGGGCTTTAGCGCAGTACGCTTGTAGTGTGAGTGCAAAACGCGACAAAACCCGAAACTGAAAGCGAGACGTGACTTTAACAGACTGTTTCATATGGATTTATTAATCATTTTCACTGTTCAGTGAACGCAAACTGCTGTAGCTTATTAAATACTCAAACCCCTCACTGCACGACTTTATGCTTTATGATTGTTTATGAGTAAACAAAGTAAACTGGAGTTTAAACCCAGACATGGCCTGTAGAGGCTGATCTTATTCAGCGTTATCGCTCTTATCCACGTTCTCAGACACTCTGTTTGTCTTTACACTCAGAATAGACTTCACTGCAAACTCTTCACATTCTCTCAGTGTGTGTGTGTGTGTGTGTGTGTGTGTGTGTGTGTGTGTGTGTGTCGTGCTGTTAGTGGTGAACATCTGACCTCCAGAAGCAGAATCCGCAGCTGTTTCTGGAGCTTCGAGTGGTCTGGACTGATCCCTGAACTCTGCTCTTCCCCAACACAGTGATGATGGTGAGGCCTGATCCAGCGCAACTCCTGACTCCATCAGTGTTCTCTAATGTCGGCTCTCGTGTTTGCAGATTACTGTCATATGTTCTCTGGCGTCAGGTAATCCTCGCGGCTCTGAACAGTAGGAATACCTGCTATAGACTCACCACAGAGGAAAACTACAGCAATCTATATTAATAAATACTCAGCAGCTCAGGACGCCTGCCCACCAGGACAAATACAGGAGTCTGTGCTATTTTTTTCCAGCTGCTTACACACAAAGTCACAAAGTCACATGATTTCTGAAACCTCTTGCTCAAAATGCAAAACTACACAGCAAATCTCCAACACCAGAAGCCGTTTCTCAGCCCTGAGCTCAGAGAATAAAGCAATAGTATATATTATTGTAAAACAGTTTTGCAGAGAATAAAACACTTTTCTCAAAACTCTGCACAACTCTCTACCTACAACACCACTGGCTTTCCTTTTCCAAACACAACACCTCAACATGCTACACTTATTCACCAGGTCACTCACGCGCACCCACGCGCACGCACACACACACACGCACGCACACACACGCTCCTCAAATGTGGAAACACTCTGATCACTAGCTGATCACTGCTTTAGTCTAGGATAGGGTAAAGCTGATGGGACACCGGGCTGTTCTGGTCCAAATATAAACTGGTTTGTCACTCATTCACAATCTGTGGTCATGTACCTACCGCATATTCATCTTCTCTAAACCCTAAATTCCTATAATAAAAATAGAGAAATTAAAGCCTAGCTCTGTTAAGTGTATGATGGGCAACCCCATGACTTCGCAGATGTGACAGAGAGAGTTGGGGAGTTTAACATGACTGATGTTGACCTGTTTACACGGTAATAAGACACCTTTTGCTTAATCAGGTGACCATTCACTGGATCACTTGTCAACAACCTAGTGGAATGCTCAACTGAAGATAACCCAGTGAAACACTCATCTGTCGATAACTCAGCAGAATGTTCACCCGTCAATAACCCAGAGGAACGCTCACCTGCCGATAATGCATCAGAATGCTCAGCTGTTGTCGTTGCCACCTGTTGATGACCCGGACAAACGCTCACCTCTCAATAACACAGTTTAACCAATGCTCACCTGTCGATAACCCAGCGAATGGTCACCTGACGATGACTCAGTGGAACGCTCACCCATCAATAACCCGGTGGAACGTTCATCTGTTGATAACCCATCAGAATGCTCAGCTGTCGTCAGTTACACCTGTTCATGAACCAAACAAACGATCACCTCACAATAACACAGTTGAACAAACACTCACCTGACGATTACCCAGCGGAACACTCGCCTGACGACTACCCAGCGGAACACTCGCCTGACGATTACCCAGCGGAACACTCGCCTGACGATTACCCAGCGGAACACTCGCCTGACGATTACCCAGCGGAACACTCGCCTGACGATTACCCAGCGGAACACTCGCCTGACGATTACCCAGCGGAACACTCGCCTGACGACTACCCAGCGGAACACTCGCCTGACGATTACCCAGCGGAACACTCGCCTGACGATTACCCAGCGGAACACTCGCCTGACGATTACCCAGCGGAACACTCGCCTGACGATTACCCAGCGGAACACTCGCCTGACGATTACCCAGCGGAACACTCGCCTGACGATTACCCAGCGGAACACTCGCCTGACGACTACCCAGCGGAAACACTCGCCTTGACGATTACCCAGCGGAAACACTCCCCTGACGATTACCCAGCGGAACACTCGCCTGACGATTACCCAGCGGAACACTCGCCTGACGATTACCCAGCGGAACACTCGCCTGACGATTACCCAGCGGAACACTCGCCTGACGATTACCCAGCGGAACACTCACCTGTCGATAACCCAGCGGAACACTCGCCTGATGATGACTCAGTGGAACGCTCACCCATCAATAACCCAGTGGAACGCTCACCTGTCGATAATGCATCAGAATGCTCAGCTGTCGTCAGTTACACCTGTTCATGAACCGAACAAACGATCACCTCACAATAACACAGTTGAAC